ATATATATATATATATCCACGATGTCGGCTACGGTCGAAAGCTCTGCTAGGGCTTCCAATGGAGATTGCGGTCGCAATTTATTCTACCGCTGGAGAAGATCTCACATCGTTGACCCCTTGCTCCGGCGTTTGCATCTACGTCGACGTTTGCACTCCCTGTCGCGGCTCGCGTCACAATATCTCCACTGCTCGCATCGTCGTCTTCCTCTGTCGTTGTCGTTCCTCTGCTCGACGTCGACGTTCGCACCTGCTCTGCTCGACGTCGTCCGTCGTCTTCCACTCCTCTGTCGCTCGCAGCTGTCGTCTGCGCCCGATTCTTTTGTTTCGGTGCTACTCCTGCTTCTGCGTCTGACAGCTCCTCTGCCTTTCAGCAACCTCGCAGCAGTTTAACGCCAACAGCCTCTGATGGCGTTTCCTCCTTCTTTGGTTGAGCCGAACAAAGTCTCCTTTGCCCGTGTGGTGGGTAACTCTCAGGAGGAGTCTGCAGTGGTATTCCCCTCAAGTTATAAGGAATGTCGTGTGGATATAGATGATTGTTCTTTTATTAAGAAGGGAAATATGAAAGGAGGAAAAAATAATCTTTTTCTCTGAATCAGAAATTTCTACCTTGATCTGACGGAGAAATTCAAGTTTGTTCTTATTGGAAAATTTGAGTGGGGCACTCACTTATGGAAGTTATCAGAAGAGTGTTGATGATCTTAAACTAGTAGGCAAGTGGAAAGTGAGACTCATGGATGAGAGACATGTGTTGATCTAACTAACAGTGGTTGAAGACTACACCAGAATTTTCTTCAAGAAATATCTTAATATCAAAGACAAATTAATGAAGTTACTCAAGTGGTCTCCTAACTTTGACTCAAAGCATGAAACTCCCATTATACCGGTATGATTTAGTTTACCTGGTCTCAAGCTGCATTTTTTTCACCATCAGGTTTCTAGAGCTCTATTGGGGTTATCCTTGGGGATCTTTTGAAACTAGATCTGCCTACTTTCAATCTAACCAAACCCTCGATGGCCAGAATATTTGTGGAAAGAGATATTACTTTACCTGATGTTACTGAAGTCTGACTGTGCACAACCCATAATGCCATAATAACTCATAATGGTTATTGGCATCAAATCGTCATGGAATACAAACCCCCATATTGTACCCACTGTAAGATGTTTGGTCATATACTTGCTAAATGCCACAAGCTTCATCATATTTTGAAATCTAAGGTTCAAGTGAATAAGGAGGGGTCTAACCTCACTGTTGTGGACACTTTAGTTCCACTTGAGGAGGATACTACCAGACAGGAGGTGTTTGCTGTCCCTGAGGACCCCCCACCCCCCATGACACTGCTGTTACTGTTACTGCGAGTGATGCGATGCTGACACCTACAAACTCCATAAAAAACAATACTGATGTACCATTACCTATAAATGATAGTATTCAGACTGATAATCAGGAGAGCCTCGCAGCTCCACTTCTTCAAGAAGTATTCGGTGTAGAGGCAACTCATGTTTCACATATTCTATAACCTATTGTGGGTACTACTGTTAATATTCCTTCTGCTGCAGATCTACCCCATCAGAATGATTCTTTGGAGGAGGAATGACATGTTTACACTTATAGGAGAAAGAAGAAGAATGGAGATCTACTAGAGCTCAAGAGTCTTATGGATGATACTTTGGTTACTACGGGTAATGTTCAACACCTTACCAATCTGCTAGTTGGATCCCTACTGAGAACTAGAGCTAGATGCAAGACTAGATTGGGATGACCCACATTTTTTCAACGCCCGGGTGGTTTTTGAGTTTTTTGATTTCTATATGTACCCATCTTTTATATTTTTTGGTGTGTGTTTTACCGTGTGGGTTGGGTGTTGAGACCACCCATACAAACCTATCTGTATCTTTTTCTTTAATATATCAGGCCTTGGGCTTATATATATTCTCGTGCTTATATTTAAAGACAAATTTGATGTTAAGGATTGTTGTAACTTCAGAGGAGTAATATTTTAAATCCATACAGTGACGATAGGAGGGAGAAAGTAATATAGTTATGGTGCAAAAAATTGTTAGTTTTGAAAAATAAATTTGATTTAATGTTAGTAAAACACAATATAGAGTTAATACTGCTAGTGAAAAAGTTTAGAGAGCAAAGAAATAATATTCATATTATTTCTATTGATTTTGAGAATACATGATCAAGGTTCTTGACAATTGATTTGGTGCAAGTTGAGAAAGTTAGGTGTGTGCCAAAGGCGTGTTTTAAGTTCATAAAAATACGTATGGTTGAATAGAGACTAGTTTTAGTGTATTGTCTGTAGAATGATCTAAGTTTTTTTATTTATAATAAAATAACATCAAACATCAATATAGAGTTCATATCTTTTACATTGGTTATGAAGATGCTTACAAAAGATCAATGTTTTATAATATGTTTGAAACTCATGATTGGATACTTGCTTGATTTTTCTAAACTGATTCAGAATCAAAATTAATTTTCTTTAACTGTGGTCCATAAGGATCAATTCAGCTGCTTGATAGTTGGCAACATATAAGTAGGAAATTAACAAATTAAGTCAATGCAAGACTGGTCCCTGGATGTTGAGTAAGGAGAGGAAAGAACATTCAATGAAGGAGGAAGTGTGAATGCACAAAAAATTATTTATGGAAACTATTGTGCTTCGTTGAGCTTTGTATTTGCACTCAAGAATTAGATCATTCTTGTTTCTTCTTTGTGTTTTGTTATTAAGCGCATATAAATATTTCTTTGTTAGGTTTGATGTGTGAAATACTTTGGAGTGATCCACAACCTCAACCTGGAAGGGGACCCAGTAAGCGTGGTGTTGGTCTTTCGTTTGGTGAAGATGTGACAAAGAGATTTTTACAGGAAAATAATCTTGGTAAGATATTTTTCTTTTTAGTATAGCTGATTTACAATGTGATTCTAAATTTCACACTTGCCTTTGTGCAATAATATTAGATCTTGTGGTTCGGTCACATGAGATGAAGGATGAGGGCTATGAGGTTGAGCATGATGGAAAGCTTATAACTGTATTTTCTGCTCCCAACTATTGCGATCAGGTAATGAAGCTTTCTGATAAAGTATGCTTGATAAATTTACGGCTATGATGTGAACGTTTTAGATCTTTACTATTTAGTTTTTTTAAAGGAAAAGGAAAGCTGACAAAGTGGCATTTGCCAAAATTATCAATGAAAATTCAGAAATGCTAGATAATTGGTTTTGTCAGAAGAGCAAATAAATGAAAATTTTATTTAGGTATATTTTCTTATAAAGGGCGATGCAGGATGTTTAAATAAATCTTCTGATGCTTTATAAAGGAAAAGGAAAGGATGCAGGATGTTTAAATAAATCTTCTGATGCTTTAAATAGCAATATTGCCTTGGTTATATGCAGTTGCAGCAAAACCTGTTCAAATAGTTGGAAGGCAGCTTTGCACAGCATAAAACATAATTTGTTTATTATTTTAGATGACATACAAAATTGATCTATATAACAAGATATATGAAGTGATGTATCCTTAGAATTGGTAAACTGAACTTTATGATTTGCCAAGTAAATTTGAAAAAGGATATGGAACAAATATTCATGGAAATTAGTATCTTGGGAATGATGTTAGAATAATAATAAAGTTTAATAGGATATTTTATGATGCATTGGTACGGATCATGTTGGACATACGCATTTGCTCAACATGCATCTGACACATCTCAAACACACCATCTACACGTCTAATTAAAATAAATTAAAAATGAACAGAAACGTGTCAGACATAAGTGTCTTGAATAATGAAGTTTTATATTACATATGTAAATTTATGTTGTAGCAACATATTCCCATTTGTTTTAAAATCGGGAATTTTACATATATAACACACAATTCTTATGGATTTACATATCGAACACCTGAAGTTTTGATATTCATCTTTATAACATTTTGGTCATAAACTTATGTATGAAAATGTATATTTTTCTCTTAAAAATTTAGTAATTGTTATATTTTGATGTGATGTTAAAGATTTGAGTGTTATGTATGTAAGTATAAAAAATTAGTTGTTAGATATGTAAATTCATGAGAATCATGTTGTATTTATGTAAATGCCTCTTTAAAATATATTATCTAAATAACTTAATATCCCTTCAGCACTAATTTTTATTTTCTTTATATACCTTAATTTTCAATGATTTTTTTTACTGTGCCTATTTTCAATCTTTTTACTAAAGTATCAATTTCCTTAATTTCAATCTACCAATCTATAACATCTTGTGATGTTTTTTCAATTTATATATATTTATTAGCATAGGATTTTATTTTAATTTTTTTTAAAATTTATGTATTTACTCCTGTATATTTTCTTATTTTTTAAGTTGTAATATTATAGTGCCGAGTCCAACACTTGTCCATGCCCGCATTTTCAATAATAGAAGCGTCCTTTCTCTATCTATCTAGTCCGGTGCTCACGTCGGTTTAGCATAGAGATTACCTCTTGTTAGATTTGAGGAAGTCCATTCTCTGGTGCACTGCAAGAGAAACAACCGTGGGAGGTGCACGGAACATAAAATTAGTGAATTTATATGAAGAAAATTATGATTTTGATTTTGTATTTCTTAAAATGAGCAGCAATGAATGACAATAACCGCTTGTGGTGTGACACTTTCCATATAGAAAATATTTTTATGGTGAACTCCAAGTCAAATTCGCCTGATAAATAGTTGGTTTCTCTCTCTCTCTCTCTCTCTCTCTCTGATATA